TTTTTTTTGGCCACACACTTTCTTGTCCGGTCGAAGTGACGGGAGGAACGGCACGCGTGTGTTTTCGCGTTTTTAATTTCAAATAAATCGAACGGCCCTGTTTGCTTAGAATTAGTATGCCAGTGGCGGCCTATTCGAAACACCGGGATAATTCGGTGCGCCATAAATTCGAGGCCGAATACTCGCGTGTAAAAACGTGCCCACTCTTGCTCACTGCTCCGTCGCTATGCAACTTAGCAAAAAATTATTCAACTTTTTTGCGGCAAGTTCGCCGGATTCCCCGCGCTTACTTAGAACTTATGGAGCCAACAATTTTTTCTTTTTTTTCTTTTTTTTTTTTTCTTTTTCCTTTTCCAAATTAAACGCGTCCCCCACGACAGTGGCCTAGCTCGCGCCGCCAATCCTGCCAGTTCCCTTTATTTTAAAATTATCTCCTTCGTCTAAACGAATGAACAGTTAATTTCACTTTGTTCGATAGCGCACGTTGTACAGTACACGTGTATAGACGCTTTTTAATTGATAATTTAACGAAAATGAAATTGAACGATTCGTCAGTTTCATTACTACGTAGAAGAGAATTTCTGTCCAGTAGGTTTCCTTATTCGAGCAAATAAATATAAATATTAATTACCCGGGGGGGAATGAGATTGATCGAGTGATTTCTAAATTGTTGTATTTGAATTAATTCCTGTCTAATTATTTTACCTTTGAGTCGTATGAATTTTATTACAATGGTTAAGAAAGTGTCGAAAGAGTGAAAGATTAATGTTTGACACGGTTAGAAAGAAAAATTAATCTTCCGATTTTTTTTTAATCAAATCTAACTTTTCGTCTCTTCCCTCTTAATTTTTACAAGTAGAATTTTCATTTTCAAAGAGTCTTGCGCACGAAAGGGGCCCTTACGCCCCTTCCATATCGTCACAAATCATCTTCACGAATCATTCTGCTTCTCCGTTCCGGATTGTTACTCGAATTAGCCCGTATTCGAGTGCACCCACCCACGGATCGCACGATTTCTCGATCGTATTCAGATTACATTCAGGCATCCCTTTAACGTCGGCAGCAGACGTATGCATAGAAAACTCGTTCAGAAGACGTGCAGAGTACACACGAGCGGAATGAAAGAGTTCGTTAAAATAAGCAGCTGCGTACACGCTGCTAATACATGTGGTATTATATCTGCCGGTTGTGGACATTTATGAAATATTAAAAACGAACTGCCGTCGTGCCGAGGATAACATACGAAATTCTCTTTCTTTCTTTCGACGACAATCGATCAATCGGTATTTTTCCATAATACAGACATTGCCACATTTGTGCCGTGTCTCGATATCTAACTTTCAATTAGATCGAACTTCAATTTTCGTTTGAAAAAATTCAGAGACTTGAGCGGATAGAGATATGCCAGAGCCCCTGTACAATAAGATGATAGCTAGTTCGAGGTTTCTATCGCTGGGACAATCAGGTCGCTGTGAGCTTGTTTGTCAAAACTTCGAGGCCAATTTCGATCTTCCGTCATAACGAAGGATCCGGAATATTCCCACAAGGGAGGAATTCCTCCCCTCCTCGTTCTTTATTTCGTTTACGAATAAATTAACAGGGACGAAGTCCGTCAGGGGTGAACGCTCAAATCCCTTTCCCCGTACTCTTTCACTTTTTTTTTCTTCTTCTTCTTCTTTTCTCTCCCTTCTTGTTCTAAACGATATAATCCCGAAAAGCGATGCACGGTCGCGCCCTCGCCGCTCTACCTGTCGATCCAACACTCTCCCATGAAGAGCATCCTAACTAGAATAAAATACGTACGAAATACAAATCATTCATCCAGCCGGACCCACTCGCCCGGCCCTCCTTCTTCTCTCCTCGAACATATGCATATCCCGTCACCCTTTCCATCAGTCTGACGATGGAGAAAAAAAAAAAAAAAAGACTCGAGGAAGAGGCCTGACCCAGAAAAACGAAGCAGAGAAAGAGAGAGAGAGAGAGGAGAGGGGAAAAAAAGCAAATAGCTCGAAAAGAATTCTTTGTCTCTTCCTCCTCTCTTCCGCTGGAACCGCGTGCTCCCTCTTTCTTTTCCCTTCTTCTTCGCGGGTTACTCGACGTTCTATCTGATCTCTTCCTTTCTCAGGCTGTTTTTGCCTCAGCCACTGTTCCCTCCACCCTCAGCCCCGTCGGTATCTCTCCCTCCCCCCAACCCTATGATAGAGAAGTTTTTCTGCCGGGTTTTTATCAGTCTTCAACCTTGCTATCCGAGGGTGAAGAAGAAGAAGAGGCGGCTGGGTGGCGGGAAACGTATATACGGGCGCGGTGTACACTTGGTTCGTTTGCTCGTCTTTCGCGCGCGTCTTTCTTTTTGTTTGGACGGCTTTAGTGTTACGTTGCGGCTGGAATGTTGTTGAAGTCGGATGAACACCGGATGGAAACCGTGGAGTTGTCGTTTTCCCTTTTTTCTTTCCCTTTTTCTCTCTGTGTTTTTTTTTTTTTTCGTTCGTTTTGTTTTTTCACTCGGGACATATTCTTCGACGAGAAAGTAAAACGTTGTTGTTACTCTCGTTATTGTTGTGTCTTTTTTCCCGCAGCGCGTACAGCTTCGTACTAGGTTACTAGAA